ATCTCATAGAGGGCCTTCCCCTCCTGCGCTGTCTCTCCACCCTCCCAAGCATGATGTCCCTCTCCAAGGACCCGTCCCTCCTGGCAACATGTGCAAAGTATGTCAGACGAAGCCCCAGAATCCTTGCCTCCAAGCAGTAGCTTGGTTTAATTAGTTCATACTTGCATAATATTTAAAAACCTCAAACTCATTTCCTGTAAGTCGTAATCATCACAACAGGAGAGTGAGGCTGTACATTGCACAGAAGGAAAACTGTCCACTGTTCTCCACAGAGCAGCTGGCGGATTCAGACCCCTGGAGACACACAGCCTTTGAGTTGACAGCGCGACCCCCCCAAGGGCGATGCCCCTTGAGACTTGGTGCCAGCTTGCAGTTTGCTTTTGTAAGATAGCAAGACTTTGGAGGATCATTATCTCCTTCCCTAGCCTAACTGAGGGCAGTGATTTCTTGAGGAGCCCTGTGCTTATCATCGTGGCATGTGTTTTGTTGCAGGAGCTGAGGGAGGGGTGGGGCAGCTTTCAGTTCTTCTTGTAACGGCTCATCTCGCTTCTGCAGGAGCTGGTGGCTCGCTACGTGTCTTTGATCCCGTTCTTGCCTGACACCGTCTCCTTTGCTGGTGTCTGTGACCTCTGGAGTACGTCCGACGTAAGTGGGGCCTCTTTCCTAGTAGCTTGAGCTGACTTAACGGAAGACTCATTAAATGCCTCGCGTAATCTTAGATCACAATATTCACGAGTCATCATAAAGATCAGAATCTGCTGAGCCATTTGTTTCGTCAAAGCAGAAACCCAAAGGCTCTGCCGCTGAGTCGATTCTGACTCCTTGCAGCCCTGCCGGATGGAGCAGAACTGTAACCTTTCCGTAAGCGGACTACACAGCCTTCCCTGTGGGATCCGAACCTCTGACCGTTCAGTTAACAGTCCGATGCTAAACCCACTGTGTCACCAATGCTTCTGTAAGGCTTTAGCAGGATGAGCTGAATTCTGAGGTGTTTCTATTCTTAGTGTAACTCTCCCAAAGTTTAGACAATAAAAAAAAATTTCATCCCAGAGATATGTGGTTCGAATCCACCAGATGCTCTGCTGGAGAAGGAGAGGCAATCTCCTCCTGTATCAGTCAGAACCAATTTGATGGAACACATGCAAAAAATAATAATAAAAATTTAAAAAGCAAAACTTAAAAATAAATTTCATTTGTTGTTGCCGATTGCCATTGAGTTGGGCATGAATCATAGCGACCCTATGAACAAAAGGCCTGAAGCCTTTCTGTAACCATTCTCATTTATCGAAGTTCATAGAGTTTCCAGAAGCATGCTGTAAAGAAGAAAAGAGAATATTTCAGATGACTCAATGCCAATTTATCCTTCAAAAGTAGTACCTTAAGAAGATTATCCCAGTTTTACTCATACAAAGATTGACTTGATTTTTTTTCATTGGTAATATTATATAATTCATTTCCTGTATTTAAAAAAATTAAAATTACATTTTTATTACATTTGGAAATTGTACAACGCTTAACTTACAGGTTTCTTAGGGTGTGCTGTTTATTCATTCAGTATGCACACAAAACCAGCAGAAGCCAGAACATGAGGGAGACAGGAAGCTGTCAGAGAAGAAAACACAAATCTTTCCCACGAAAACCAGCATCAGAAAAGTGAAAGGACTGCGTGCGTCCAGAGGCAGAAAATGCGTGCAGCACAGGAAGACACGGCTGCCCCTCCTGCCCTGACTTTCCAGGCAAACTCTTAGAACTTCAGCAGAAGTCAGGAGCAAAATTAAAAGGCAGAGGGGCACTGAAGGAGAGGAAGACCCTAAGGAGATGGGCTGACACAGAGATGGCAGCAAGGGGCTGACACAGCAGAGAGTCCATGGGTGACCCACGAAGGGGCAGGGTTTTGCTCTGTTGTATGCAGAGTCACCATGAGTCACTTTGAGGTGACCTGATAGCCTCAACAATAACAGCAACACTGTCAAGTCTGCCATAAGCAAAAGAAAGCTTGGTCTCTGCCCTCAGGGACTTTACAGTCTAAGTCTGAAACCTACACTCTGGCAGCAGGGAGCGAACTTGTATTTCCCCAGTATTCATTTTGCTGCTGAGTCCTGTTTGAGCTGCCTGCATTAATTTTCATTCAGCTTACACAACTCCCTCTAAAGTGCTATCCTAATACACTGTCCCAATCCAAAGACATTGAAGTACATGCTACATTGTTTTTCCGCCCCTGATACCTTTTGGAAGTATAAATGTCGAAAACTGTCAGGATAAAATTTCGACAGCCTTGTTGCTGTTGTGCCACCCATTCAGAGCTGACTCATGGCTAATCCTCCAGTGAATTGCCCCTCCCTCTTCCACAGAGCAACTGGAGGATTTGAACCCCATGCCCTCGGGATTGCAGTGCAGCTTCTTACCACAAGGTCACCAGCATTTCTTCTACAGCTTTGTTGTTGTTCTTGTGTACTTTTGAGTCGGAATAGCCCCATAGCTGACCCTCCAGTAGGTTTTCAGAGGCAGTCAATGACACGGGAGGAGACTGCCCATCTTTCTCCCACAGAGCAGCTTCTGGATGCGAACTGCATGCCTTTGGGATTGCAGTGCAGCTTGTTACAACTAGGAATTCAGCCATCTCTAAACACCACACCAATGACTCATTGGTTCCATTCCATTGCCCTGGTTGGCTATGATTCACTCAACCGAGTGACTCTCCACTCAGTTTCAGGATTTAAATCTTCATGGGAAGAGACTGCCTGTTTTTCTGTCCAGAAGCGACTAGTGGATTTGAACTACTGATCTTTTCATTAATGGCCAAGTACCTCATACACTATGCTATCGAGGATACCTCATACGCTCCAGAGTCAGTCTAGGGGCTCTTGGTCATCTATCTGTGTCTCATATTGTCAGGAAGATACAGTCTTTGAACAAAGACATCATGATGGGGAAGGTGGAAGGTCATAGAAAGACAGGAAGCCCCTCAACAAGATAGACTGACCCAGTGGCTGCAGCAGCGAACTGCAGTGTGTTAGAGACGTTGAGGAAGCTGCAGGTGAGGGGAAGACTCAGGTCTGTTGTTGACAGCGCCCCTGTGAGTCACAGTGGGCTCAGTAACACCTCACAATGGCAACATCTGTGTCTCCACGTTCTCATCTGCAAAATGGGAAAAGACATCCCTTAATGGGTTCCTCCAGTGAATGCATTCGTGCTAAGATCAGTTTAGCACAGTGAGCCGTCATATATAAAAATGCCCCACACTCCAAACGACAAGTAGGCCGTTGGCATCCATCCCCCAGCCCTCCCAAATCAAGGTGATGACTGATTCTGCACACCCATGCCATCGAAGGCCAAGAAAACCCCGTGCCCACGAGAGTGGTTGATTTGGTTGGTTGAGGAGGCTGATGAAGTATCAATATAGTATCTCAACGTGGGGGAAGATGTGAAAACCAGGTTTCTCGTCCCTTAAGGCCCCAGTCCTAACCTCGGCTGGTTACAGCCCTGGGCAGCCGACTCAGGGTGCAGCCTGTGGTCGTTCTAACGCTGCTGTCCTCCGTTTGTCAGCAATTTCTCGACCTTCTGGCGGGGGACGAGGAGGAGCACGCGGTGCTGCTGTGTAACTACTTTCTGTTTCTGGGGAAGAAGGCCTGGCTCGTGGTGGGCAGCGCGATCCCCGAGGTGAGACCCCGGGGTGGCTCTCAGGGGCGGGGCTGGCTAGTTGGGGTGGGGGGGTGGCTCCAGGGAGCGGGTGGGACTCTCCCCAACACCTCTTTCTCGGTGCTTCGCAAAGACCGTGGTTTTCACCACTGGAAGGTTTGAGGTTACCTTGTGGTGAGGTAGCCTGGGGGTGCTGTTCTTCCAAGAGCACGTGCTTCCTTCATGTCTGTGTTCTACTACATTCTGGAATTCTCCCAACTATTATTTATACTGTGTGTGTGTGTGTGTGTGTGTGTGTGTGAGAGAGAGAGAGAGAGAGAGAGAGAGATTTATATTTAGAATTAGCCCACTGGACTCAGTTTAGATGATCCCAGTTTTGTTGGCAACATCCAAAGCATCATGGTCAGGAGCAAGTCGGACATATAGGCCTTCTTCTCTCCACCAGGCCTAATCAGAGTGTTGGCCTTGGCCACATCAATGTCATAGAGCTTCTTTACAGCTTGTTTTATTTGGTGCTTGTTGGCCTTGACATCCACAGTGAACACAAGTGTGTTGTTATCTTCTACCTTCTTCATGGCTGACTCAGTGGTCAGGGGAAATTTGGTGATGGCATAGTGGTCAAGCTTGTTTCTCCTGGGGGTGTTCTTCCGGGGGTATTTGGGCTTCCTTCAGAGTCTCAGTGTCTTAGGCCCCTGGAAGGTGGGTGACGTGCGGATCTTCTTATTTCTTTTGGCTGTGGATGCCCTTCAGGACGCCTTCTTGGCCTTTAATGCCTGTGCTTTGGCTTCAGTTTTGGGAGGGGCAGGGGCTTCCTTCTTCACTTTCGGCACCATCTTCTAAAACTATACTTTTTAAAAAATTAATTTTAATGAACGTTTACAGACTTAGGGTTTCCATTTGTCCATTGTTGCATTTGAACTGCGTACCTTTTTTTTTGTCTTTTAAAAAATTATTAATAATTTTAATGAAAATTTAGAGACTTTGAATTTCCATTCATTCATTGTTGCACTTTTCTCCCTGCCCAACCTCATACCCAGTTCATTCTTCTCTTTAAAAAGTAAAAGAAAAATTCTTTCATTGTTATACAATCCCCCCTCCCAAATCCACTCCACTGTGTGTAGCCTTTGTTCTGGACTCCTGTCATGACAATAATACCTAATCATATAGCCTTTTAAACAGTTTTCTCCCTCATCTGTCTCAATGCAGTGTACATTACTTATCCCCTCTTTCTCAGTCTCCCCTAAACCCCAATGTCAGTCCCGTTTTACAATAGTGGCACAATGCAATATTTGTCCTTTTGTGACTGACAAATATTGCATTGTGCCACTATTGTAAAATGGGACTGACATTAGGGTCTGAGATATTTCACTCAGCATAATGTCCTCCAGGGTCACCCATTTTGTATATTTCACGAGTTCCTTGTTTTCCAACGCAGCACAGTATTCCATTGTGTGAATATACTGTTTAACATCGAGTCAGAACCGGCCCATAGGTGACACTCCAGCAGGTTTTCAGAAGAGTTAATCGCATGGGAGGAGACTACCTATCCTTTTGCCTCAGATTAGCTGGTGGATTCGAACCTCCTGCCTTTGGGATTGCAGTTCAGCTTCTTACCACTAGGCCACCAGAGCTACCTACTTTTATTTATACTGTTGTGTCATCAAGTCGTAGGCAACTCATAGCAACCCTATGAACAAAAGTCCTCCACACTTGTGTGACTTTCATCCTTTCTCCAGGTTCATAGGGTTTCCGGAGGCAAGCTATTATTATTTATACTAAGAAACAAAAATCCCCAGGTGACTCTTCATTGCGGTACTCTCTGTATGACCATGGGATAGGACTGAACCCTCACCATCTCGGAGGTGTTTCATAATGATCCTCCAAGCTGCCAGACGGTGCCCTACGCACAGCCAGCCCAAGGCTCTGAGGCCCACGGTTCGTCAGCTGTGTGATGCTGGCCCGTCGCTTCTCACCTCTGGGCTTTCTCAGTAAACTCAGACACTTGTTCTGTCCTGCCCGGTGCAGAATGCTAATATGAACATCAAATAAAATTGTACATGAGCAACAGGAGAATCATTCATTGTGAGTAAAATACCCCAGTCACACTATTCTCGGTCAGACGTGAAATCCCCCCTCAGCCCAACTCCCTAGTCCCACCCCCCAGTTTGGTAGGTGATTTCTGTGCCATCAAGTTGGAATCAACCCAGAGGTGACCCTCAGGTGGGTTTTCACAGGCAGTAAATGGTATGGGAAGAGACTGCCCATCCTTCCCCTGCCCAGTTTGGCAGATGTGCTTTCAAATCTCCTACACACGCACATAACCATCAAATATAAACTATCGTCATACAACAATGAAAGTAGTATTCCGCTTTCAGGAACTTAGATGGCAATCTCACTGATTCCAGAAGGAAAAAGCCAGGGACCTGTCACCATTACCATTAGCTCTTCGGACTGTCTTAAGTAAGGTCATGTCTGTTTTCCTTGGTCGGTGCACTGCATAGTATCAGATGCAGCAATTACAACAACAGACAGTTAGATTATGTGTCTTAAACTCCACGCCTTCAGAGTTCATTGCGTGCTGCCTTGGGAAATGTTTTTCATGCCTCTTTCTTCTCAGGGTCCAACTGCCTATGTGTTAACCTGGGAGCAAGGTCATTATTTAATGTGGAATCCCTGCACTGGACACTTCTACGGACAGTTTGACACATTTTGTCCCTTAAAAAGCGTGGGCTGTTTAATAGGACCTGATAATGTAAGTATTTTCATTTTCATCTTAATCTTGATTGACAGTTGTTTTTTTTCTTTTAATTGATCTGTTTCAAAAAAAAACCCTCTTATGTATAATATACAAATATCTGACATATGTCAAGTATTAATGTATACTAATATATTGTTTATTGTTGTTGTTGTTAGGTGCTATTGAGTCGAGTACAATGCATAGTAACCCTATGATCTGCACCCCGTCCTATCCTGTGCCATCCTCACAATCTCTGGCACACTCGAGCTCATTGCTGCAGTCACTGTGTCAATCCACCTTGCTGAGGGTCTGTCTTTTGCCATCCCTCCACCTTTCTAAGCAAGATGTCTTTCTCCAAGAAATAGCTTCTTCTAGCAGCTTCCCCAAAGAATGCAAAACAAAACTTCATCATCTGTGCCTCCAAGGAGCACTCTGGCTTTACCTTCTCCAAGACATAACCATTTGTTCTTTTGGCAGTCCATGGGGTAGTCAGTATTCTCCTCCCAACACCACAACTTAATTTTCTTCTGTCATCCTTATTCATTGTCCATTTCAAGTAATTGAAAAGACCATGCCTGGATCAGGCACACCATAGTCCTCAAACTAACATCATTGCTCCTCAGTAATTTGGAGAGGTATCTGACTGCAAACTTCCCCAGTGCAATTTATTTCCCGATCTCCTGACTGCTGCTACCAAAGGTACTGGTCACCCATGGTTTTAGTAGAGCTAATGATGCATTATGTATTGTTGTTGTTTGTTGTTATGAGCCATTGAGTCACCTGTGACTCATAGCGACCCTGTGTACAACAGTCCTAAACCCTGCTCTATCCTGTGCCAATGTTATTGTCTCTGACACACCTACCGCTGTCCCTCCACCCTCCCAAGCATAATTTCCCTCTCCAAGGACTGGTCCCTCCTTGCAACATGTCCAAAGTATGTCAGATGGCGCTTCAGAATCCTTGCCTCCAAAGAGCAGCCTGGCTTCATCCTCTCTGGGACAAACTTGTTTGTCCTCCTAGTATTCTATGATATATTCAATACTCTTCTCCAACACCACAGCTCAAAGGCATCAACTCTCCTTCTATCATCTCTAGTCATTGTCCAGCTGTCTGATGCATAGCAAGTAATTGAAAAGACCATAGCCTGGATCAGGCGCACCTTAGTCTCCAGACTGACCTCATTGCTCTTCAGTACCCAATGAACAACATATCGGAACATTGCCCTATCCTGCAACATCCTTGCCACCCCCACCATGCAAAGCACATTGTTGCTCCTGCTGTCCCCATGTCAATCAAATTGAGGGTCTTCTCTTTCAATGACCCTCTACTTTTTCCAAGTTGTTTGGGGGTTTTTTCTACACAGGTAGGATAAATTCATATATTGGCTCTCATGGAACTGTTTTCATTTTATTCCCCTTTAGTTTGAACACGCACTATGAGTCAATGACGGTCTGTGTATAGTCGACTCGATAGCACCTCGCCACAACTTTTTACACGTATACTTGCATGTGTGCACATGCATGTGTGTAATCTCCTAACCTCTGTGCTTAATCGGTCTTCTCTTCTCAGATTTGGTTTAATATTCAACAGTATGATTCTCCTCTAAGGATAAACTTTGATGTCACCAAGCCCAAGCTATGGAAACCCTTCTTTTCAAGAAGCCTTCTGTACCCTGGCCTGTCCAGTGTTCAGGTGTGATGCTTTCCACTCACCATTAAATGCAGACAAAGGGAGTAGCGGGAGGTCATGATACTGAGTAGGTAGCTAGGGTTTTTTTCCCTTTATAGCATAAAGGATCGAGCACTCCACTGCTAAATGAAAGGTTGATTGTTCAAATCCACTAAGCTGCTTCTTCTTAGGAGAAAGATGTTAACAGTCTGCTTCCAAAAATAGCAGCCTTGAAAATGCTATGAGCCCATCAGGTCACTGAGTTACACTCAACTCAGGGGCAGAGGGCTTGGTATTGGTTTCCACAGGGCCACTGTCAGTCAGAATCAATGCAATTGCAACAGATTGTAAGGAGGAACCATAACTGTATTTCCTAAAGCCTTCCTTTCTGGTTGATAAGAAGGTCTATGTATGTGGGCGGTGGATTTGTTATATATTTTACTAAGAATCAAACCTTTCAAAAAAGAAAAAGGGGCTGAAAAACAAAACCCATGAGAGATCACAAAGTGACACATATAAGAATTTGCATGGGAGTAGAATCACGGCTATATAGGTATTCTTTACACTGTTGTTGTTGTTGTTGTTGTTGTTGTTATGTACCATTGAACGTTACTCTCAGCAACCTATGAACAAGATCTGAGCCCTGTCCTTTCCTGTGCCATCTTCACCATTGCTGACATACTTGAACCCATTTCTGCAGTCACATGTCAGCCCACCTCCCTGAGGGGTCTTCCTCTTGTTTGCCAACCATCCACCTTTCCAAGCATGCTAGCCCTTTCCAATTCCAAGGAACAGCCCTTCCTAACAATACGCCCCAAGTGAGACGAAACTTTGCCATCTTTGCCTCTAAGGAGCATTGTATTTTATGGAATGTCTGAGATCTCAACATTCACATAAAAAAAAGGAAGTAACAGACAGTTAACCAAACTCTTAAATGTGGGTGAATTCTCTTCTCCCAGCCAGAGGAGCTGATCTACCAGCGCACAGACAAGGTGGCCGCAGCTGAGCTCCAGGACAGGTAAGTTCATCGCCACAAAGCCAGGGACCTTTACTAGAGTTTACCAGCCAACTTCCCCGAGTCTCACCTGGGTCACGGTGAACTGATCTGGGCACCTGAGCTTTACTTGGCGTTGACAGATCCTGAGCCCAGGCGGTCTCTCTAAACAGGAGCGCTTGGAGGCCCCTTCTGCATTGTTCTGGTGTGCATTCGAGGTCCCCAAGGCCCTCCCCCAGCCCAGAGCACACCCATCAGGACCCACACTTAAATACGCCTCATTCTGTCCCTCAGTGGCTGGCTAAGTGTGCCAGTTCAGCCGTAACAGAAATACCCCACATAGACGGCTTACAAGCGGAATTTCTTTTCTCATAGTTCTGGAGGTGGCTAGGTGTGCAAACGTAGGCCTCCAGCTGGAGGGGACAGCACTGTCGTCTCTGGACAAAGGGCCTTTTCCCCTTAGCTTCCACATCCTCGGAGACCTCCACCTGTTGTAGCATCCAGAGGACCCCATCTCTGCCTCTTCTCATCTCCCTTCTATCTCGAGAGACTGGCCCAGGATATGTGCAACATTAGCCCTGCCCCATCAACAAAGACAGCCCAAATGTGACTGATTATACAGCCCTACATCTTAGCACTTCCAGCACGTAAGCATTTACAGGTGTGATAGAGGTCAATCCATCGTGGTGGCTAGGACTTCGGCCAGTTTATGCGCAGAAGACAGGGAGAGGCCGACAGGAGACTCAGGGAGAGGCAGACAGGACACTCTGTGAGCCCCGTGATCCTTAGAAGCCCATGCAATGACCTTTATTCCCCAGGTTTCACAGACATGCACTGAGGCTCACGGTGTGTCAGTGCTGGTGAGGGTTTCTGTGCCCAACCAGCCGGGTCTAGCCTCACAGCCTGTGTGCTTTTCTCCGCATCAGGGAGCTGTGAAGACTTGGGTGCCACAAGATGAAATGGGGTCCTCTTTTGGGTACTGCTGTCATTGATAGGTGCCACCAAGTGGCTGACGCCTCATAAACAGATGGGCACCTCGCCCCGTGTTGTTGGGTCGTCCTCCCAATCCATTAATACGCTCAAACTCCCTGTGACAGTCTTGCGTCAATCCGTCTTGTTGGAAATCTTCCTCTTTCACTGGTCCCTCCACCTTTCCCAGCATGATGTCTGTTTCCAAGTACTAGTCCCTCAGAAACATACTCTCATGCGACTTTAGCGGGGATACCCACCTGAGAAAAATGAACCCCCAATGAAGTATTTTAGTTCTCCCAAACCTTCAGCACACCGTTCAGACTCACCTCCAACCAGTATTCCAGTATTGTTCTGTAGAATCCCACCGTCAGAGTCAACTGCTAGCGGCCCTGTAAGGCCGAGAAGCGCTGCCCATGGGTTTCCAGGCCTGTAACCCTTCCAGTCACAGGCGGCCTTGTCTTTCTCACTGCTCTTGGGGATCCCGTGACTCTTCGTCATAGGCTGCTCATCTGTCACTGCCCACGGGGACCCTGGGACCCTTCCAATGGCAGACTGCCTCATATTCCTGCCCACAGGGACCCCGGAACCTTTCCAGTTGCAGGCTGCCTCCTCTTTCTTGCTGCCCACAGGGACCCTGTAACCGTTCAGTTGCTGCTCGTCCCTCTCGCTGCCCACGCGTTTCCAAGCCCCTCCAATCACAGGCTGTTTCTCCCATGCAGCTGCTGGGGGATTCAAAGCACCAAGCTCGCTGGGTGCAGCTCTGTGTTTAATCCGGTCCCACCTGAGCACCCTCTGGGCAGCCCTGGCACCCTGCAGGCCATCCACCTGTCCCGTGGGGGTGCAGGCAGGATTTCTTGAAAGCAGCAGCTTCAATGTCATCAGTGATTAGGATGGTAAAGCATTTCATGATAAAAAAAAAAAAAGTTGCTTAATGTACTGAATTGAGCCAAGCCCAGCTCTTCAGTGCTCCCCACCGTGTGACATTTCCAGGGTCCCTCAGGCGTCCGTGTGCTGTTTACGGGCCCCCCTGCTCCCCTGCCTCGTGCCCAGCCCTTGTGGGTCCCAGCCCCTCAGGTTATTATGTTCTGGAGTCCTCTCACTGGAGCACCCTGCACTTACGAGGTCACCAGAAGATACAAACTGGGGGTGAAAAGTCACGTCACCCCAACATTGAGTTGCTCTTTACTGAACAGGATTGAAAAAATCCTCAAGGAGAAAATCATGGGCTGGCGGCCCCGCCACCTGACCCGGTGGAACCGGTACTGCACGTCGACGCTGCGCCACTTTCTGCCGCTGCTGGAGCAGAGCCAGGGCGAGGAGGTGGAGGACGCACACCGGGCCGAGCTGCTGCGGCAGCTGGGGGACTACAGGGTGAGTACGGGCCTGCGGGCGGGAAGGTGGCCGGTTCAAATCCTCCGGGGACCCCGAGAAGACAGTCCCCTTCCGCAGTGACAGCCAGCCTTGGAAGCCTGAACAGAGGCAGTTAGGGCAGCTCTGGGGCTTTAGGGGGGACTGAGGTTTGGAATCAAACAAACATGCTCTCAGGGCTCCCCAAAGTAAGAATATTGTTGCTGCTGAGTCCCGTCCATGGCTGGCCCTCCAGCTGAAGTAAATCCCACAGGATGAGACTGCTCATCATTCCCCCACAGGGCAGCTGGTGGGTCTGGTGGGGTTAAACCTCGTGCCATGAGGCTGGCACCATTCCTTACCACCAAGCACCTCCACAGAAAGCAGAGTGAAAAAACGACTTTTAGACACTCCACTTGCTAAATAACATGCCTCTAGAAACTCTATGAACTTTGATAAATGTCGTAGAGGGGCTTCAGGGTCACTATTAGCCGTGCTGGACTCGAAGGCAGTCAACCACCACCACCACGACAGTAAGTAATCTATCAGCAAACAGCCAACAGCCTCTGTACCATGAAAGCACGACCGTTTATGGGTTAGGGAAAATAATGCTGCTTATGAATACACTGTATTAACTGTTATCTGGCTACATCACATTAGACAGAATGAGAACAGGCAGAATCGAGCTGTGGACTCGAGTTTTAAAGGGCATGCGTTGCACCCCAACAGCCCTCACTGCTAATAAGCTCTCAGGAGCATTGCTGACATTTCTGGAAAACTCAGCACACACCCCCAACTTTACAGATAATAGGCCTGTTGCCTAAAGAGCGTGCAAACTGGACGAGAGGATAATCCCGTTTCCTGACTCTTTCCTTTCCAGGGCAGGTTTTCAGCCAGGATGTTTTCATACAGGCCTGCAGGGCAGACAGGCATGGCCAGCCAGTTTCCTGGGATGCAGACAGACAAGCTGAGGTCAGAGCTGCCTTCCCCCAAGGAGGCCAGCCTCCTTCACTGCATCAGCTCCACGTCTCACACCCTGGGTGTGTTCTCCCCAGCAGGAACCCCGAGACTCCCTCTGACAAGTGACCCCCATTAGACCACATGACCGTCCATCTCAGTCACTGTGGCCAAGGGGAGGCACTGCATTGATTAGCAGCAGCTCCTGGGGAGAAAGTTGGGGAGTCTCCTGCCCTGCGGTTTACCCAGTGATGGGCAGGTCAGCTCTGAGTCAATTCTAGTGCAGGGAGTTGGCGTTTTTATTAAGTCACTGAAACCATGTAGGTCACTATGCAAACGGAAGCAGTCAAGAGGAGGAGACAGCAAATAAGAACTGGAAAGTGCTCCTTACGTGACGTCAATATGTTTGCAACGAAGTCACAAAGGGCACTGATGTCCTCCCCTCTTCTATGGCGCTGCAGAGCTAAAGCAAACTAAGAACTGACTCAATACAGGGCTCTGCCAGCAGCCAGACGTGGCACAGTGACCGCAGGCATTCACCCGGGCACAAGCGCTGTGAGATCTTCAGACTTTCCTAACGCCCCCGAATCTTCTCTCGCCCCAGTTCTCTGGATTCCCCCTGCACATGGCCTACTCGGAGGTGAAGCCCCTGGTGGAAGCAGTGTACAGTACCGGAGTCCACAACATCGAGGTTCCCAACGTTGAATTTGCCTTGGCTGTCTATATCCACCCGTACCCCAAAAATGTCTTGTCTGTTTGGATCTATGTTGCCTCCCTTATACGAACCAGGTAAAACTTTTTTAATTGTATTTTTTATATCAGGTAAAACAAAAACCCACCCTATAATCAAGATGTAAGAGTATTTTTTAAATCTATTGATTATACCAGAACAAAGTAGCATTTGCAAATGAAATAAATGTCTATTTTTAAAACTACACAAAAATAACTGTTTGGGTCTTTGTAGATTTGGCTGTGTGCTTGGTGGTCCCTCTAAGTTCGCTGGGTGTCTTCCCGATCCCTCATCACCCTGCACAATGTCACATCTCCGTGCCTTTCCACTGTACAGACGCTGCCTGTCATGCAGTGCTTTCTTCCTTTAGGTTCGTCCAGCACAGTAACAATCGTATGTTTAAAGACCCAGCAAAGCAACACTTCACAATTTTTCAGCGGGCCAGGAGAAAAGGGTTGCAGTATTACGTTTTAGAAATGCCTAAGACTTCACCACAGAGGTGCTAGACAAGCACACACATGCACACAAAACCCGCTGGGCTAAGACCGCATTCCCAAAGAAGGAACATATGTAAAATATCCATCGAGAGAGAAGTAGGTTTTGGGGTGTGTTTTTTAAAAAGCCCAAAAATAAACACTAAGCCATTATTAGCAATGGCTGCATGTTTGAGGAGGGCACCAAGATTATTTTGTACAGCACTCCACAATGTCACATCCTACCTGGCTGTGAGTAGCAACTGGGGCCTTAAAAACTGGCCGTCAAGGAACTCATGCAATATTATTTAAAATGGGTGACCCTGTAGGACATTATGCTGAGTGAAATATCTCAGTCACTAAAGGACAAATACTGCATGGTGCCACTGTTGGAGAAAGTGACTGAAATCAGGGTTGGGGTAAGACCGAGAAAAACTGGATAGATTATGTATACTGAATTGAAA